CTCGACTCCGGTGAAAAGGTTCTAAGCTTTTGTCTGTCAAAGCACCTTAGAACCTTTTCACCGGAATTGAAGGAGATTGCCTCAGAAACAGCGCCAGCATGAATCTTCCTATAAAGCCAATCGACAGCTGGTCAAGAGGAATCCGCCGTCGTCTTCTGGCGAACCGACCTTCGAATCTCTTTACCCAACACTTTCACTCAAAGTGGAAGTAAGCTCAACAATTATGAAACAAAAGATTCCTCGAAACGCAACTTTTATTTGCATCTATCAATTCTACCAATTAGTTTGTATCATGAAAAGTACCCTTTAATGCAAGTGTACAATTATGTCTCCCTTGGAGTGGAAATTTAATTATAACACATAAGAATAATCTCTGCATTTCGTTTAAGCAGATATTCTAAAATTTTTACATCTCACCCGACGCCATTTCATCCATATAGCTGACAGCACAGCTGCAGACCTCTGCATCTGCCAGCTTTGGTCCCTCGAAGTGAAGTGAAGCCTGGCTGAGTGTGGTAGCCCGGATCTCGCCGTTTGGTTGAGTCGCGACCTGCTGAGTCGATTTGAGTTCCAGTTGACAATAGTTGGAAACTCTTAGAGGGATTCCATTAAGGGCCCACTCAGCATTGACAATCGTTCCACAAAGGCAGCAGATGTCCAAACATAACGGCTCTCCTTCCTCCAAGTAAATGCCATCTTCGGAAGCCTCCAGAGCCTGTTTCAGTTGAGGACAGAATACATCCAAGTTAGCCGGAGATGATTCATTCAAGGGCGCTTTAGTCAAGAGGTCTGTGATGGCGCTAGCCGTTTGCATTTCACCACTTGAATTAGTCACACTGGCAACACACTTGAATTTGCCGGCATCTGTAGCAGCAAACTTTGGGAGAAGCAACCAGAATTTTCCTACCTCCTGGCCAAATAGATGGTGTTCTTGGGCCGTTGCAGAAATTTCTGTCATCTCTGCTAGTTTCTGTTCGCTGTGCAGTTCTTGCCATTCTGATTTAGAGGCAGATTCAGCAGCAGAGGCAGCCTGGAAAAACCATTGTACAGCAGGGACGCTCTGCCCACTGACAAGTGCGAGATTCATACAAATGTAGGCTTCTTGTCCAATCACAGCTTCGATTTGTTGGTGCTCTGGCTTCATAATATCTGACCAAACTTCCTCATTAGCAGTTTCGATCATCTTTTTCGAGTCCTCTTTCCTTTTTTTCTTATCTTCTTTCTTCTTTAGTTTAATGAGATTTTTATCTTCCG